TGGACCCGCGCGGCAGGCGGCGCGCCCCCGGAACCGGCAGAACCTGGGTCCCTGGGCTCGCCGGTGGCTGGGCACTCCCCGGGAGGGCGGGGCTCCTCGCCGCCTGCGGGTGGCTACACCCCCCCGCGAGACACCTGGTAATCCCGTGTGTGTCTCCGCAGGCACTGACCGCCACGAGCTAACTTCCTGGAAGAGCTTCCCGTCCATCTTCAAGTTCTTCGCGGAAGCTTCGGAGGCCAGGAGCAGCTCTCAGAAGCCCACCCTGACGCGGCGCTCGCACCGGATCAAGCACGAGGAGCTGTGAGCTCGCCGCCGCCCGCCGCCCCGCAGCCTCGGCCCCCCTTGAGATTGCTTTCTTCCTCCAGCACAGGGTCGTCCTATGTTCGTCTAAATAGCGTTTTACATTATTTCTAGATGAGTGCAACTGTCAAAGCAATATGGACTCGGCCGCCGAATTTTCTGCGGGCTGAGCTGGGGCTTCGCGCTGGGGTTGGCGGCCCGCGAGGCTGAGAGCGCCCGAGCCCCACGGTCCCCCGCTTCTACCCGCCCTGCCCGAGCTGCCCGAGCGGCGTCTGCGCGGTCCTACCGCCCGCTACAGCGCGGCCACTGCTGCCCAGCCTCAACCTTGCCCATTTTTACTTCCCCCTTAACTTAGCAAGCTTTTACTCTAGACTTCAAACTTTAACTGTAACCAGGTTTTTCCCTCGGGTCATCTTGTGAGCACTCTCTTTTATAGAAGGCCACACTCCCGGGTTCTAGAAATGCCAACTTTAAATTGAGAACATGACCGCCGTGATGTACTATGTAGTTTGGGAAGTACAAATTGTTCTCTCCCTGTAACGACCAATTTCCATTTCAAGATCAAAAGAAAAACTTTGCATAAAATGTTCATAAAGTACTGAATCCGAATTATTTTTTCTGAATATTCCTGCCGAGTTGAACAAGAGTCTTTATGTCTCTGACTTCAGGAAGATGATCAAATATTTTAGATGTAGGTAGAAGGCCCTATTTTCACTGAAATTTCTAACTTGCTTGTAAGAACTGACCCTACTGTTAAATATGTAACATAAGGAGTGCATTTAGATGATACACTGAAGGTTTGCTTTCTGTGTACTACCAATGCGCAGCATCACTGCTGGTTAGTAACCCGTACTCAGTGTACTTGGACCTTTCATGTGGTAAACCCTTTCAGATACAGGGATTTGTTTTTCTTTTTACTATCGTCAAGAAAATGATAGTTCATACCCTCGTCCTTCTGAAAAGCTAAGTAAGGTTAAAATGCTTCAGTTTTCATCTACACTAGGTAAAGAAAATCATTCTCTCTTTTAGGTCCAAATATTTAGTGTTCCACTTCCTCTGTTAGGGTTTTTCCCTATCAGCGGTTAGGTTCTCTAACCTAACTGGGATCTGGCCAACACTGACATGCAGAAGATAAAATAAGTTGACCTTTTACTGACTTTCAAATTAAAACAGAACATTAGTTACTTGAAGGATTTAATTAGTGAAGATTATATCCAGTGGGTGAGATTGTACATTTAATACTAACAGTTCTTTCTTAAGTGAATTCAACAAGTAATGCATCTGCCTTCTTTGAGAACATGTAAAAGAATGTCTGAAATGATTGTGTGGCACTGGCTAATGCCTCAGAAGGGTAACCTGTACCCAACAAGCTTATGGAGAATTTGTCTTAATATTATGAACTAATTTCAGCAAGTTTTAAAATTGGTTATATCACGTGTTCTTTGGCATATACATGCATTCAATAGTTCCGTGTTTTCGGTGTCAGGGAAGTAAAGTGACCAGTGGTCATGTCTGGCCATCTTCTGATATTACTTAAACAGAAGCAACTCAAGATGAATCAAAATTGCAGTTTATCCAGCTCCTGGGCAGTTTAAAATGTGTTACCCCAACAATGTCAAGCACGTTGCTCTGTCATAGTGACCCTTTCATTTCTAATTTTAGAAAGTCTGGTGAACTCTGTAAAAATGATATCTTCCCAATGAAAAATTGCTGTTGATTGAATGTATCTTACCAACTGTTATACATTATCTAATGTTTTCAGTATAGGAAAACATTCACAAGAAACTAACTTTGTGACATTAAAACAAAAGCCAACACTTACACAGGAATAAATTTGCTAAGCTTCGACAGCTGAGTTAAAGCAAAATAAATGCAGTCAGCTTATGAACCAAAGGATTCCTGGTCCTTCTCTCCAAATTTCTCACTTATATAGAGAAAGTCACTGTTTCCTTGAGATGAGTATATTACAATCACTGAATTGTTACCTTGTTACTTGGCTGGTAGAGAGCAATTTACAAAGTTATATTTTGTAAATGTCTGTTACTATTTGTAGATCTGCACTACAAACCCAGAGGGAGCAAAGCAAAGCACTTCCTTATAATGTAGGATTTCTTAACCTGTTGATTGGGATGTTATTGGTATTTGTATAGTAATGCTATTCACCTTGATTTTCTTGGGCTAACAGCAAACAGTTGACAGTACCCGGCCTGCAGAGTGGTGGCCAATGATAATATTTCTTCTCTGGTCTTCTCCCTGTTATTTCTGTTATTTCCTTTAATAGATTCTAGGCATGTAATGGTTTAAAAGTAGGCTGTGCCCCCCCCCCAATCATATGCTTAGTTCTTAGAGTAAGTAGGTTGAGAAAGACATGAATTGGAGATTCAGAACAGTCCTGTTGAAGCTTCAGTGCCAGGCAGTTGCTTTGGAACTTTCTAAAGTGACCTAACATGCAGTCCTTGAAAGTCACCCTAGGTATCTGAAACACCATTTACTTGTAATAATTGTTCTTTCCTCAGAGTTCTGCCTTGTGCTTCCTGGAGTGAAATTTTTGTTTCTATATCAAAAAATAAATAAATAAAGCACAAGAGTCTCCTATCCTCTCTTTTCTGTTTAACATTTTAAAGTAAATAAGGTTGTCAACAAGCAGCTGTGTTTTATTCCTCTTCAGCTCTTTTTTCATCACCTGCACAGAGGCTTTCAAAGCTGAGACCTTGAAGTGATTGGACCATATACATCAACATTATAGGCGTTATAGCTACTTATAATTGCTATATATCCTAACTTTAGTTGATGATCTACCTGGCTCACATATGTCATAAAGATAACATTTTTAGCCAAGTGTTTTTAATATGTAGATAAGGAAGTTAGAACAACTAGTCTTCAAAATGCTTTAAAAATAACCATTAGTATACAATAAATATGTTTTTCAAAGGGATTAAGTTGGCCAAACTGCTAATGGTCAGGCCTTGATAAAGTGTGTCCAGTTCAAAAACTGACTTGTTTACATTTGTTACAGCTATTCCCCCCAAAGCCTTCCACTCCTTTGAAGGGGTTTGGGTGACACAGAGTGTGGCAACTAAATTAGCACTGTTAATTTAAAATTAGATTCTTTCCCCATTTCTCTGGATTGCACAGTTCCAATTCAAACATGTATCTTACGTGTTGTAATCATTGTTTAGATTGTTAACTTATAGGCTCCTGTTAGAAACTGTACTCCAAATTATTTAATAAAAATTACTATTAAGTAGTTTTCACAGTATAAAGTTACACACTGCCAATTTTTTTGGAAACTTTTCTCATGTCTTGTGGGGGAGAGGCTAAAAAAATAAACATGAAACAGTCATATATTTGAAATACGGCAAAAGGGGGGATAATTACGGTGACTACTTATATACCCTTTGCCATAATATTATAAAATAAAAGACTCTAAGACATACCCCTTTCAACAAATGTAATACTTTCCTTACTTCCCTGTATAGAATGACTCAGTAGGAGTCTCTTGAATTGTTCATCTTCATTTTATCTAATATTCTATTAATCTCCAGAAAAAAAATGATCAGGTTGAGTCTGGGAAAGGGTTTTCAATCAACACTTCTCAGAGCTTAAATCTGCCCCACCTAAAGCATTAGCTTTGTGAGGTGGTTTGAGATTTAAACCATTGCAACTGCCATACACTGTACTCAAAGGATGTCCACCAACTGGAAGGTGTTGGAAGAGGGTAGCACAAAATTCATTAAGAGAAGTTCAAGAATAGAAACAGTTATCAAAACATTTTAATATTTATCTTGAAATCTGCATTTTTAAACGACAATGATAATTTTTAAACCTCACCATGGATGGAATGGATGTTGATTTAATTGATTCATTTGGGTCAATGTTTTTAAAGTTTCACACCACCGCTTTCATGAAGTGATGTCTTTAGCAGTCAGTGGTTTGACAAAAGACTTCTCAGATTTCATCAGTGGGACCCTTCATGACATCTAAAACCAACAATCTCGTAATGGGAACTTTGGGACTGGGAAATCTCAAGACTCATGTGACTGATCAAATGAAGAATTGTTAATTCTCGGTAGTTTGTAGGAATTATAATGGAAAATGAGTCGCAAAACCTTAAGTTTTGCTGTTTAGAGAAAACTGTCCTGAAGGTTTGATCAATAACTGGACATCATAGAATGATCAGTATTTTCCTTGTAAATGTAAAACTTAGAAGAGGAAAATTTTACTATCTTTCCAGACAACTTTCCCTGGCCCTTTCCCTTGAAGTTTGTAAAACGTTTCGTCATACTCTTTGTTTTTTTGAAACTGAACATTGTCTACATCGCTATGAAACATGTTTCTAGGAAGAAATGTATGCAGATCCCACACCTGCCTGTCCAGGTCACTCAGCTTTTTCTCCTGTGGCTGTTACACTGGGTGACATACAAAATTCTCATAGATAAAATGATATCGAACTTACTTTGTGACCAAAACAAAGAATCTGAAATGAAAGATACCCAACACCCCAAGAACGATATGTCTCTTTAAAGTTTACAATTTGAATAATGAACTCAGATGGAAAGTTGGCAGGAAAGCAAACCACGGCACACACATCACAAACCATTTTCCCTTTTCTGTCCAATTTCAGAGTGCATGTGTTTGTGAGTATTTCACTAGATCAGTGACAGCTCTTTATTTGCATAATTATATGCTCTGGTCTGAAGAGAAAACTAACCCCCAAATTTCATGGGTCACCAGACTGCAACAATCAATGTTTTATCACGTATGTGAAGCAAAATCTAAGAAGCTATATGAAGTTTCTTGGGGAGTTTTTACTCCTCAGAAAATTAAAGAGTTTTCCTCTCCTGAATAGATTCAAAATCTTTCCAAGTCCTTTGTAACAGAATTCTGTTTGAAGGCAAAACCAGAGATTAACATGTAGATGTGACTACTGTAGATTCACTAACATCACTTCAAAGTGGCTTAAGAAGAACATTTTTGCTGCACTAAAACTTAAAATTCCTCATACTCTGAGGAAAAAGTATTAGTCAAATTATGATTTGCCAAAATGAAGTCCAAATTAATTGCCATTGACTATAAAGTTCATTTCCTTTCTTAAAATACCTGATGGTTTTTTAAGATCAAATAGAAAACCTTCTGTATATAAGCATATATATGTCTCATATATACATAGCTTTGTATAGCGTACTTATGTCTTTCTGCTCATTTCAACTGAAATCGACAGACAACATATACAATATGTGTATATTTAGTCAGTGCCTATAAAATAGGTGCTCTGTATGTGCCGATCTTCATGAAAGATTGAATCTTTATGAAATAGAATTTTCATGTGGAAAATCTTCAAGGCATTGCAATAAATATTTTTAAATGCTCCAAGCTTGTGCTACCTCTATAAGTCTCTGCTAGTATGTAATATGTACTTGTGTGTAAGGTTGGCTTTATTTCATTAAAGAAAATTGATTTAAACTGCTAATGTTTTTAGTTTTGTAGGCACTCAGCCAATTTTGAATACAAAAGAGCATAGAGACGCATGCAAACCATGGATTGTTGTTGTTATTGTTGTTTATGGGGTCATTATGATTCTGGAAAATTCTTCCTCTACTTAGTTTCTTACAGAGCATAAGGTGGGAAATACACTTCTGTAAAACCACAGGAATGTGAACTTCATGTAAAGTTTCTTTAGACAACCTGCTAGAATCAAGAAGAGGGAAGCACTTGGGGGAAGCTAAGAATGGCTTAGTCTCAAGTATCTTATTCTTTCTGAAGATTGAGAGGCCTTTACAGTTGTCAGAAATTTCCTAAAATGTTGCTATTATTTCAGTGAAAAGCAAATTCCTTCCCCCAAGTTTTAAACTAATGTTGAATTATGAATGAAAGCTGTTTTCTGGTTCTCGTCATCTGAGAAATCACACCTCTGCCCTTCGGGATCCCTCCCCAGTGCAGTTGTCGCCTTTGTATAGATCCTACTGAGATGAAGCTCATACCTCTGCCGCCCTCCCCAGGAGTTTCCATCTGGACTGAAGGCCTGAGAGTCCTCTGGGTGTGAACTCCTCAAAAGGAAACCTGTAAAAACCAATAAATTCAAGTTTAGAATTTTATCTAAATAGAGATAAAGGTTAGAAAACTGTTCTTCTGGGTCAGATAAATGGCATTTTGTTTTTAAGGGAGAAAATCTTCTAAGAAAAACAATAGACAATATTTATAGCTACATTTTTTTCCTGTTTTACCTTGGTGAGAACATTGCTTAAGTATCAGATGGGACTCTCAATAATGGAGAAAAGTCTGTTATTTCCCACTCAATTCTACACATGAGAGGAAGACCAGAGTCTCCCCCCTTCTATGATGTATATTGTGTTTGTTCAGATACCACCTAATTCTTACAGTATCTGGAAGACTGTCTCTCACCCACTCATCCTCATATGCCTCCTAGTAATCATTCAAAAGCTTTCTCTCTTTTCAGAAGCATATTTAAATAAGTGCTTTTTAAAAATAAACGTGCACCTTTCCTGGATTATCAACTAAAGAAACACTCATGGTGTTTTGCAGCATGGTGATGTTTCCTCCCACCCCGAAGCCCCTCCTCTCTCACTTCTGCTTTACTCCAGTAAGTTACTTAACATCGTCCCCTGGAATAACTACGGTTAAAAAATAACCCTAGTTCAGAGTGCCACAATTGGCTTTCATGCGGTTTTGAAAGAAAAACCATTAAAATTTCATTGATCTCACAAATATTGATCTCGTGCTTGATATCAGATATCAAATGCGATGCTGTCAGCTGCTGCTGATCACTGTGTCAGCTGTTTGAATTCATGTCCTCTTCCTTCTTCATTGTCACATGGATTCAAGTTACTGAGGATACATAAGATTTTAGTGATTAAAACCATGTCAATCCTTTTCCTGTTTCTCACAACTCTAGCTTTCCCAAGCATAGTGAATGATCTATCTGTTATAGCATGTGTGGACAGTCCTTTTCAAGAATATGGCTTTTTACTGGATAGCTTACATTTCTACTTACAGGCTTTTACCTCAATATTGAAATTATGCTATCTGCACCCTGCTTTCTTGCTAATCACAAGCCTTTTTTAAAAATCAAGATGGTTTGCTTTATAGTAATGCAATCAAAGTATTGCTTTATTAGAGAGAATGAATTCTTAGTCAGACACTGCAACATGTAAGTTGCTCCTTTTATTCTTGTTGACAAAAATATGACTACAGTATTTCACAAACAAAGAACTCAAAAAAGTATTTAGGTGAAAAGTATATCTTTCCCAAAATGTGATAGCAAGTTTAAGCCATCTTCTTCCTCAATTCCCTAGCGCCCTGGAAATAGCTAATTATCCTATCCTTGGGTATATTTAGAATCTCAAGGCATATTTTCCTTTTTCTTTTTCCTCTTTATTTTGCACATCAGCAATTGCTGATTACATACTTTGAAATGTGATACACTTTAAGAAGGAAAATAGCTGTCTACACTGTAATGGCCCAGAAATAAAAGTAGGACCCGCTAGACTGCCACATTCGTATTTCCCACATTTCCTAAGAGGTAAATTTTCTTGTACCGTGATTTGTTTCCCTTTTCATTTTTACACCTTGCGTTGGTTTGGAGATAGCGAAACAAGGCAATATGAAGGCTCCCTGTTCTCCCAGCACCATGGACAGCACCCAGCGCCCCTTTCCTTCTATCCCTTGGCCAGAACCCCCAAAGTTCCAGACTGGCGGGATTCCTCACTCCAGCCACTCCCGCACCATAGGATATTTCCTTCTCAAACCTCAGGATCTGAGCCCAAAACCACAGTGAGCTTAAAGACTGTGGTTTGTGGGAGGAGAGTCTTGTCTGCTCCCTGCCTGGTGTTAATCAGAGCGCCCTAAGTTGACGCTCCATTTGCCAGGGAGTCTCCCGAATTTGCATCGAGTCTATGCTGTACGTAGCTCCGCCCCGCAGTCACTGCTATGGTAAGGGTCTTCCATTGCTCAACTCAAATTTTCTTGAACCAACTTTTCATCACCACCCTTTAGCTAGCAAGATCGGTATCCGCTTTAAAGGGTTTCTGCTGGGACCACTTTGTTCATAGGCCTATAAACTCGGTCGCTACAGATCTGTGTTTCAAAAAAAAAAAAAAAATGTACGTGTAGTCCCGACAGTCCTTGGTCCTACCACCCTGCCGGTGGTAGTTTTCTGACTAACTCTGGGGCGCCTAGGCACTGCTTAATCTCTCCTCCAAGCAAGCGGAAGCTCTCTACAGCAGGCTCCCAAGGCGGCTAAAGAGCCTGACAGCAACTTACTTGACCACACCAAAAAGGGGCGCCTCTGGCTTGTACCCGTCACGTATTCTCCTCTACAAACTTCAGTCCTGGCTGTTTTCACTAAATCTCCTTATTTGTCTCCCCCCCCCCCCCTCCCCGCAATTGTCGCGTTGAGCAAAGAGCAATAATGGAAAACCACTCCCGGAGGCATCTGGTTCCTTGCATAGTCTCCCTAGCAACCCCAGCCGACACTCCTAAGGCAGATTCCAAATATAACACCTTGTTGTATTGAAAACCTCGACTTATGTGTTTGGCTTTGAATGAAATTTCGCCCCTCCCTTCAGAACACAGCTCTCCTGATACCGCAATTTAAAAAAATAATAATAAAACACCATGTTTAGGACCGGTGAGACAGTCAAAACCAATCTCTTATTAAAGATTGGATGAAATCCGTTCCAAACCAACTTACTGCAAACTTTTTGAGTAAGAGCGATAAGTTAATGGAATGAGAAAGAACCCGGGTATCTCCATAGCAAACGGGATTCCACAGCACTCTGTGTAATCACAGGAACTATCCAATACATCCAGGAGAAAAGTTTTCTCTGCCCCGCATTACAAAAAAAAAAAAAAAAAGTCACTGAGTTTCTCCGTTGAGAGGCAAGTTAGCCTTAAAACACCTTGATTTTCTTTCCATTGACTCACACAAATAACTGGTTAATAATAATCTTTCCCTGGTTAGTAATTCAATCTCTTCTCTCGGAACTGCTCTGAGAGCTTCCTCTCTTGTCCAGCACTGCCCACAGGAACTTTATGCCTTTCTCTCTCTGCAGAGTCACTCCTGAGTTTGCTTTTCCCAAAGAAAATTTTTCTCTTAATTTAAACGTCACCTAAGTGACATTAGTCGTTGTGTAGAAACCATGCTACTAGAGAAAGGCAGTAAACTGGAAGCCCTTTAAACTGACAGCTGGACCCCTCTACCTAAGCTGAGGGGAACCCACCAAGCTTAATGCAGTTTGGCAGCTGAAATGGGGCAAGCTACAATGGGAACCTGTTGAACTTAGTGACTTGGGAATCAGTTATTATGAACTAGAGTGCACCTCTCCCATCTGTCACAATTCAAGTATCTCTAGGTGTTTGCAAGTCACTGGTCATTTTTTGGTTTTTTGATTTATTTTTGTGGTTGTTGTTGTTGTTGTTTGTTTGTTCTTTCTTTTTAAATTAGCTGAGTTTCTGCTTTGGAAATGTTTCATTCTAGCCTGTTCTGCATCAAAGGGGAGTTGGGTGCAAGAAGAGACAAGGGTTTCCTTTGTCAATAGGAAGAGAGTTGTGGAGGCTTGGTGGGACAGGGATGGCACCAAGTGAACTCCTAGGAGATGGGCTTCACTCTCAGTGTGGATGCCAGGAAATTTTTTCCTCCGTGCAAACTTTCTGTATTAATAAGCCTTTTAACATTGAAGAACACTATATTCCTGATTCAGTTTCAGAATGCCTTTCCTGGGTTACTTTAATATGTTAGAAACTTCCAAACATGTGCATATATTTTAAGACCATTTTTGCTAAAGAAAACCATGAATAAAAAAAGTATAAGCTCAATTCTATATTGCAAAATATTGAAGATATAGATCAAGTAAGTCTTCATGAAGAAACATCTCTTCAATGTTTACTACCTACGTGTATGTGTCTGGTGGAACTTCAAAACTTTCTAAAGCATAGATGACTTTTTTTTCCTCCCCTTTATTTTTTCAAGTGTTTTATTTCAACCCTATCTAGTGGGTACTGATGTCCTGGTCATTTTTGTCCTTCAAATTTTTTAATATTTTCCTGCCTTGACCACTTATTTGTCAATGCCAAATATAGAGTACCTAGTTAATTAAAGAAATATATTTATACATTATAAAAGAGTAAGTTCTGTGAATGAATCAGGGAGAACAGAAATTAGTAAGTTCTATTTATGAAGAGTCCTTGGAAAGGAAGAAGTATAAGTCATAACTACCAAATGTCAATAGGGCAAGCAAGAATAGTTTAAAAGGTGCTGGAAAGATCATCTGCAGGCAGGGCAGATCACTCTGGAAATCATCCAGGTTCCCTAATGCCTGGCTTCCCCCTCTGCAGCTTGCCCAGGGAGTTACCTTAGAAACTGAGGGTTAACTCTATGCTTCTTTACGGGGCTCCTTACTAACCAGACTGGACTTCAAATAATTCAATTTGGGAGATGGCTGGGTGACTGCACGGGAGTTACTCCTTTTTTAAAAGAAGCACTATGATTTCAGCCTTTCCTGATGTAATTAAAGCCTCTGGTGACGACAAGGTATGGAAAAGAAATAACCCATTCTTTTCATGAGTGAAACTTTCAAAGAACTTTAAAATAAAGTGCATCAGCTTCTTAATGAGAAGGTATATTAAGAATTTAGACAAGCCATTACAGTATTGCTTTAGCTGTCAAGTGATTGGATATTACAGGGACAAATATACTCGGTTTGCAATTTATCCAACTTTTACAACTACACATGTTTCTGGAAAATAGTACCTGACTGAATTCAACTGCAAAAGAGTCTAAACTAGTATCTCAGGAAGGTAACAAAATATTAGAAGTCTTTAAGTAAACGGTTAGGGGGAGATTTGTAAACACTTAAGGACCTAGTGATCCTTGGAAGTCCAACACACTTAAATTTAAATTTTCATGATCAATTCAACCTTGGAAAAAAATGAGAGCCATTTGCTTAACTTAATCTGGAACATATGTTCCCAACAGTAGCAGGTTTTTTGGTGTGTGGCTGGGGATGATCAAGTTGTAAATTTTTCTCTTTTGGTTTTCAGCGCCTGCTAGTTTCAGCCTAACACCTAGAGAGAGACTTTGCCGGAATCTTCTCTAAGGCAGCCAAGATTTTTACCAAGGTTTCCAAAGCACTCAATTCTGGATATTATTAACATTCCCAAAGTGGAGCCTTCTTCTATACAACTTAGTTCCCAAAGCCTAAAGACAAGTTCAACCTCTGGTCAAAGCGTCCTGTGTTTCTAGAGATGCACAGCCTTCGCTGTGAACACTGCCCTTCTCACCTGAAGCCCCCTGTCTAAAGGACAGACAAGGATTCTGGGAAAATGGCACCTTCATTTAGCAGAGCAATATATAGGTCCTTTAGGATCATCTTCATTTTTCTATCAGAACTATTTGTTTCTCTCTTTGTGCTTCCAACACAAAAGAGTTCCCTCCCCCCAAAAATGTTTTGACTATCTGAGAACCGCTTAATGATTACATTTTAGAATCCACAAATTTCATTTTCATTTAATTTCATTTTTAAAAAACAAACTGTGTGGTAATTTTTTATTAATAGTATTTAAACATGTGTCTGTAGGCATTGTTTTTTTTTTAACTTTAGGCTTTAAATAGAACAGAACATATTTTATGTCAGTTAATGGTACCCATGATGGCATATGAGAAAGAAGTGAGGTGGTGGGAGTGAAGGGTGCACTCTTGGAGTCTGCTGCACAACCTCAAGGGTTTAGAGCAAGTATCTGCTTAAATCTGAAGACTGATCTATCTTCTTTCTAAAACCCTGTAACAGATTACTAGAGAAAAACTTTAAATGCTTTTTTAAAATGTATCA